TGATGCGAGTGAGGAAAAGTAGTCATTCGATCATGGCCATGAGATTGGTAGTACCAAATTGAATGGTCAAGGTCCTTACTCTACTGTATAACCGATTGTCGTTATAATATATGGATTGTGCTCGATTGATCGATTTGTATTGTACAGGCTTTGATGCTACTGTACGCTGCTGAAATTTAAGATGTTGTCATGGAAAAAGATTTGTACTGGCATGTCAACTTCTCCTATCCAAACATCATGACTGTATTAGAGTAAATGAATTTTTAGTCGTCGAAAGATTGAATCATAATAAGAGCATGCTACCATTGCTCCCCGTAGAATGGGATAGCGATCGATGCAATAAGGGTAGCTTTAGAGTAAGACAGCTATTTTGTTAAGTATATCATTAAGGGATATATAATTTATAATCCTTTCTGCCACAATCGATTAACAAGTGTGATCGATTACAATAGAAAACCAAACCAGCGATATTTGAGATTGGAACTGATGTTATTTGGTAAGTTATCATGGTGTTTTTGACAGGTTGAATTTTTCAAGCATTTAGTAGGAGGAGTAGAAATAGAATGATATGTACAGTATAGGCGATTTCAATAGGTACTACCCGCTACAATCAACAACCCTGTCTAAGCGAAATGCTTTATCAAAGTCAATGAAGGATCTCGATTTTAAGTGAAAGACTTTCAGAGTCAACTACAGTACTGTAGGATGGCGAGCGCCTGCAGTATTATAGACGGTATCATTTGTAGAATGAGTCAATGCATCATCCTGCAAGGAAGCTTTAGTCCATGATTCTGATTTTATCCATCCGTAACGCAATCCTTCCTATTGGCTATATCAAAGCAGCCATTTTCACTTGGTCATGACATCAACTAGGGAAAGAATCCCCTACTTGCCTCGTCAGTCTGATCAAGGTACAAGGCATCGACAGTGAAAAATGTCCTACTAGCCCTTAGGGGCTATCCTACATCCAAGTCGCACGATAGACTACCGCTTTGACTACGATGCTGTACTCAAACAAGTATACTTTCAAGATGATGTCATCAGTCCACGTCTCCTCCACTACACTCCATGAATATCCAAGGCAGTGAAAATAGAAACTAAATCTTTTTTAGCCATTCTAATGAATGTCTGAGAGAGAGATTCAGTTCACCATTGCAATCGCACTTGCGATCGATCATGGATCATCTACACTATCCTCCACCTACAGTCCATGACTATAGCAGCCAGTGAAAATAGAAAACAACTCTTTTCTATCCATGTCAAGATAGTCTAAAAGAGAGAGATTCAGTTCACCATTGTGATTGCACTTGTAATCGATGATGGATTATCTACACTATCTATCTTCCACTACACTCCATGACTATAGCAGCCAGTGAAAATAGAAAACAACTCTTTTCTATCCATGCCAAGATAGTCTAAAAGAGAGATGGAATCCACCATTGCGATCGCAGTTGCAATCGATGATGGATCATCTACACTATCTTCATAACGCATTGGCTATCGCTACATCAGATTGATGACAAGCAAAACAACATTCTACTCACAAGGAATTGGTCGCTGTCGATGGATGAAGATTGGCTTTGCAAAGTAAAACGCTCCGGCCCAGCAGCCGTCTTTACCACTTGTGGTAGTCCCTGCCTTGACTCTACAGTACCACCCAATTGTTCACCAAGGGTCGATCGCTTTGTGCCGCTTGAGTGTGCGTAGTATGGACTTGTGACCTCCAGTAGACCGTCAACACACGAACCACCAGAACCACAGCAACGCGCGAAGGCCATCGCTACCGCCAACCTATTCGCCACTCTGTCTGATTCAGTTCTGCCAGATACATACGTTAGTATGAAATCTGCAATCACAATCGTGTGTAACAAGTCTGACTAGAGGCGATATAGACGTACACTGGACTGGACTGGACCGGACTGGACTGGACCGGACCAAGCGACTACTCAACAATGAGTCAACATACAGTACTGTACAGTATAGAGACACATAGTGAACTAAACCGGACTGGTCTGGTCTGATCTGGACTGGACTGGACTGGGCTGGACTGGACTAGACTGGAATGCAATGCACCAAGGACTACGCAATACGGTGTACTGTACACTGTACTGTACTATTACGGCGGTACTCTGCGAGACCATCAACCTCCACAGTCCACAGTCCAGATACTGGACATGACGTAATTAAAACTGAAAAATTTCTCGAAAATTGAGCACCGACTCCAAGTCACCAAGCTCTCAAGTGAAAATAGTCGGCCAATTTTAGAAGAAAAAAAGCTCATCGCTCCCCTGAATCAGTACATCCCCCCAGTCAACTTTTACTTTACTTGAGAGATCCCTGAGCAAAGTACCAACACTTGCAGAGGTCTGCATTCCATCCTGTTCCATAGTACAGTTGGATACGGTATACTCGTCCAGTCATCATCAACTATCAGCCGCTTTGCTTTTACTGTGCACTATAGGCTGCTATCATTGACAAGATGTCAATTCGTTATTTCAATAGACGAACTGTAGCTTTAGCTGGAGAAATTCAATTTTAATCAATTTATCTCAATCTCAGTAACTATTCTCCATGATGCCATTCAAGTAATGCATTAAATTAACTTTTTTAATGAATGAATGAATGAATGACTCACCGTGCCAGTCTTGAAAATATATGTCGAAAAATCATCAAAACGCGTCTATCAATTTTCAGCCAATTCTCAAGATCGAGTCTTGATATCTAGAACTAGGCGCATAGCAATCGATACGTAGTATAAACATCAAGTAAAGGTTAATATCAATTAAAGACAGACTAAATGTTTGTGGTGCCATTATTACTCCCTATTCCATAAGACTATACTACAATAAAACAGGTAACCCCTTTCGAAGAAAAAAAGAATCAAGATTCTCTCATACTATCATTGCTATTGCCAAAATATAATCAATTTTATTGGTGACACGCGTAAGAAATCAACTAGAGCCATCGACTCCTATGCATTTCCAAGATATTCCAGTCAGGGCCATTATCATTGATAAATTCGTATCATCATTCAAAAATAATAGGACTGATCATAATGCATCGGTGCTAATATTAGACTGATTTATCAAAGCAGTGTCAACCACATTAGCTATATCATATACAAAAATTGATCGATAAGGCATCTGTAATTCTTGTCATTTTATTCATTCACCTCTTGTAGTAGTCTTAGCTATACTATCAATATATTCATACGATATACAGAATTGGCCGTCAGGCAGAAATACTGTAGGCAATATCGACACCAATGGATAATTAACTCTTGTAACCAATACCCTAGCGATAACTTGCGTAGATAACCGTAATATACATTTATATGCCCAAGATGAATCATTTTGCATTATAATACTAAATGAATACACCAATAACTCTGTTTTAATCATACAGGCATAATAACTAGGAATGCGATAAATGTACTAAAAATCGTCTTCTATTTATGTCCGGGTAAAAAAGTTAATCATTCCATAGCTCTACTAATTCTTATAAAAGTGCAAGTTAGATAGTAACTTCATTATCATTAACAACTGGTTGAAATTCAGGAATATCATTATGTTGGCCCTGCATTATCTTCGCCTTTAAATTTAATAACAACTCTTTTATTCTTACAAACGTCGGCCTATCTTTCGGTAAAGCATTCCAACAGTCTTTCATAATATGATACACATTAGGGGAGCAATTCTCCGGGCAGTCTAACCGCAAACCGCCTTCGATCACACCTAATATGGAGTCTCCTGACTAGAATGTTATAATGGGTACGATATCAAGAATTAGTTCAACTTTGATGCCTTCTGTTTAAAATAGAATATAACTAACTTACAATTTCGGCATAAGGTTCACTTCCGCTAGAAAATAACTCCCACAACAATATACCAAAGCCCCAAATATCAGATTTACTAGTATACAGCTATGGAAAGCGATGATAACGTTATAAAATAATTTCACAAGCATAAGACCAAAAAAGAGCTAAATTACTTAATACTATCAGGAAACTATAGTATAAGATATAATACAGTAAATTAATACAGTTGAATACCCTATTTATATACAGTAAGACCGTTTGCAACAAACATTCAATTACCTCTTCTTTTATTGATTCTGGTGCCATCCACTTGATGCAATAGTGATGTAACGGAGGTGCATAACTATTCTCTTCCGTAGCAAAGTTAAAATTGGAAATCTACCGCCCGTAGAAAAGAGAATGTGTTGATTTTTAAACGATAGTTGCAATTGCTATTGTGCAACTATTCAATTCTTACATACCTTTGCAGTTTGATTACCAATTATAGCTATATTGCGTAGTGCAAGATCTCTAAAATAGTAAACAATAGAAATTTCATATAATTTTACAGATTTTGTCATTTTCATAAATGGAACGAAAACGTATTAGATGAAACTTTACCTGTGTATAAAGCGATTCGCAGACACATAGCACATTCCAGAACAGATATCTCTAAAGATTGAACAAAAACGATGTTTCTATCTGTTTTTATTACGATCATCAAATGGGAAATATAAATACACTAACAGCGCAAATTTCACTAGCATATCTTCCTTCCGTGTATTAAGATCGCATTCATGAATATAGGTAATAAAGAAATCTAAT